AATAAGTTTCCATAATGTTCTTCTGTCCACACTGTCAATTGCCTTCTCATAATCAATAAAGTTGATGTATAGTGACGAATTCCACTCAACTGATTGTTCGACGATGATCCGTAGTGTTGCATTTTGGTCTGTGCACTACCGATCCTTACGGAATCCAGCCTGTTGATCTCGTAGTCGGGCATCTACCACGTCCCGTTAAGCAACACTCTGTCGAAAACTTTTCCTGGAGCTGACAACAGTGTAATACCTCTCTAATTTCCACATTTTCTCAGAAATTACTTTTTTTGTATCATGATGAGGTGTCCTTCGTCCCAGTCCGTCGGCACTGCCTCTCAAATCTTCTTGAATAGAAGGTGAAGCATGCTTGCAGTTACTTCAATGTCTGACGTCAGTGCTTAAGCTGGTATATTGTCAAGTCCCGTTTCTATCCCATTCTTGAGTTGTCTGGTGACCAAATTGATTTCTTTGATCGTTGGTTGAGTGACATCTAATTTTCTATTGGCTAAATCACTTCTATCGTTTTTCAAAAAAACATTGGACCAAATACTTTTACTATTTTTCATAGTCGAAATCATGAGTCAGTTGAAGCTAGACCACTATGGGAAACCTGAAAGCACCGGACGGCCGTTTCGTCCTACTATGGGACTCCTTAGTAATGCGCATCTACGATCCCGCCTCGCGAGCGAGATTCGACCCCAGGACCTACCAGTCTCGCGCCAGAACACTATTGACACTTACGTATCGATTTACTTCGAATTTATATTCTTTTCTTGAAAATTAAAAATTAACTCAAACCAGTTTTGTCGTAATCAAAGGTGTACATTAATAGCTCTCTGAAACATCGAATTCTGAACGTATTAACCTCGTTATTATCATGGTTTTCATTACCTGTAAGATAAGATCATAATTATTCAACACACATTTTAAATTGTGTATAGTCTCTGATTTATCTCATATCTGTGTAGATTGAGTTTTGGATCAATTGAGAATCAGAAATAAACGAGCTATGATTACTGAACTGTTTTGTATGGCTATCATCATCCTATTTCCAACTCATGTTATATCATTCATAATCTAAACTATTTAAAGAGATCAAGCTCCTTTCTTAACAAATAAACTGACTCAGTAGTAGCCACGAAATCTAAAGGTTTTGGTTTCAGTCTTTTGTGGAGACAGTAGTACGTGATCACTCCTAAGAAATCCCCTGTTTGGATGAAATAGTTATCAATGTCTCCTGGTTTGTATTGTTTGTTTAACTAAAGCCAATCCGTAATGGAAACTGTCCAATGAACGATCTCCACAGATCTCTTACACTAATGATCTTGAAATCTAGTTTTTTTAAAAGCAGGTTTTATATATGTCGACTAGTATCTTTATTTTACACGTGACTTACCCTGAACAAACATTTATTACAATAGAAGTCAGTTTTTAAGTGAATTTTATATTCTTTTTTGTAACTGTGAAATCACACCTTGATTATTTTATCATCAAAGTAAGTCTTATGATGTATGGAGTTTGGTTTTTGTGGTATTGATTCATTGGTACTTTTAGTCTGTTTATGTACAACGGTAATCTTCAGTTTTATGATATTGTTATATCTGAAGCGTTTCGAATTTACTAGTTGGTGAACGGAACAAAGATTTGTGACCAGAGACCGATAAGCTAGCTATTCTGACGCGACTGACCCCACTAACTAGAGTAAGAAGTCCAAGTTGGAAGCGGAGGAAATATATTCCGTAGCAGTCAGAAGCACAGCAATCATAAGGGTAAAAATGAAACGTATATATTCAGCGATAAATTGTCCTTGGGCAGCATTACAAAATAGCACACTCAAAGATACAACGGGGCAATAGCGTTTAAGATATCTTACAAGTGGGAAATTCGACTTGAAAGTGAAAAGAGCGCTTTTGGCGCGAAAACAAGGAAATTCAAATTTTCGTAATAAAATTACAAAATGATGCCATTTACCAAGTAAGTTCTGGGGATTCGACATCCCCAACAGATACATTCCGTTATATCTGTAAAGAAGCCCACGTGTTCTTAGAATAATAATAATAATAATAATAATAGAAGCCTGGCTGTTGTCTTTCATTATCCAAACTCAAAGACACTAGGATATAAAACGAAATAGCTTACTCGAAATGAAAAATATTTAATCGGTATTCCGATTGGTGAATCGAGCAAGTGTTATGGACTAGCATCACAGTATGTGAAAAACTGGTAAGAATTGGAATGACACGAACTTACTCTAGGAAGGCATATCACCTTATAACAAATATTTACCAAATGACGTTTGAAATCAAACTCAATGTGTTGCCAAAGCAACGTTCCCTGAAACTAGCTGCTCAAACTCTCTCTCCCTTTCTAGAATTTATTCACAAATTAAGATATCAGATTTCAGTGTTGCACGATGAATTTCACCCATAACAGGACGAAACGGCCGTTCAGTGTTTTGAGGTTTCCCTTAGATACATATAAATAATTAGACATTTCTTGTATTAATCACGTTAGCTCGATCACTCCTACTTATACTACTATTACCTCTGCTATTTGTACTACTTATTTACTTGATTAAACATTCACTTCTCATTTACTATATTGCACATATTTACTGATAGTGATTCATATAGACTATCTCATTAGTATTCATTTTTCTCTCCATTGATTAATCGATATATTGATTGATATATTGATTTTATATACACAATCTTCATTTAACTCATATAAATACAAATGCATGACCTAAATTAGTTGTGTTGCATTATATATACATTTACAAATACGGTGAAATGCTGACTTAGTCATATGTTCTCCCTTCATCTGTTTATGTAAGCGTATATACTACAGTTCACTGATATATGATTCGCACATTGAGTGCTTAAAGTTTACTTAAATTATTATCTCTTGTGATGATGATATCAGTTGTTGAGGTTGTGAATCCTCATCGACTGAGATGGTTGAGTCAAGTGTTACGTATGCGTGAGCACCGATTACCACAGCGTGCAATGCTGACTAGTGTTGGAGAGACGGTTGGAAGATAATTAGAGACGGTCAAACGAAAACATGGCATCAGTCCTTTAAGTCACTGACTTCTGATGTGAACGATGTTGGTAGATGCAGACTACTTGGTTGGGGTCAGCGTGACTATCGTAACCAATAGTTGGAGGCTCTGTGTGACATGGCTCAGAATCGATCACAATGGCGTAGGTGTATACATTCATTGTCTTCCCTTAAACCTTGAGATTAAAATTGCTTCATATTTATCCTTCTTTCTATACTCTATCATTATATCATTATATACAACCTTCCTTTTATATATTACCACCACTAAATTAACTATTTCTATGAATCCAGTGTTCATCTTGTCGTGCTGATGAAGTGTGGCAACTTGGACCGATGCATAAATGTGCCTGGTCTTACATTATAGCTGACTGACTGATATATTTCAATACTAGATTACAGTGCTTTTTTTAAGCTTTCGATGAATGAGCTTATTACAACTAACGTTGGGTATGATATAGATAACGTGGTCAATCGAAATCAAATAACCAACCCTTGTTATCAATAATTATTATCCTAAACAATATGTTTTTCTGTGTACGTACGCGTGTGTGAGAATAGTGACTATGGATGATTTTTAATAGTTGAAATCATGAGTCAATTGAAGCTAGACCACAATGGAAAACCTGGACGGCCGTTCCGTCCTATTATGGGACTCCTCAGCTGTGCACATCCACGATCCCGCCTCGCGAGTGAGATTCGAACCCAGGACCTGGCTATTGATGACTTGTTAAGTAATAATACAACTAGGTCATTCGTAAAATCTATTCTTTTATCGTACAAATAATTTAACTCATTTTTTCTAAGTAAACATTTTGAGACAGGCTCTCGGTAAGAGAGAGATGTTAATGCTTTTCAGTTTTTTCCAGGTTGAAATAGTCGGAAATAGGGTTCGAACCTACGGTTTACTGATTGTCAGTCTCTTGCTTTTACGATTAGGCCACTGCTACTAATCCTACATCTTATCTACAGAATCCTATTCTCTGTCACCTTTAATTATATCATATTTGTTTTCTTCTGACTACTTTCAATCAACAATGTACTAGATTCTCTTGTATCTTTCTCATACTTTCTAGTAATAAATGACCTGAATAGATACATCAATAAACTAGAAATTACACATGTCCTATAATTCTTCAATTATACTTCATAGTTACTAATATGTTATGTTTATGTGTAGTTGCACATCAATAATTTTTTGTGCATAGTTTATTTGTGTAATTCAGTGATGGTGTGCTGCTTGGTTAAGTATAATAATTTTAAAAAATATTTTTGGTGCAACTAATTAACTAATATAACTTTTGCCTATCACTCTCTAACTATAGTTTCGCATAATTCGAGTTCTGTGTTTCATTTTTTCTCATCTGGTTAAGATGCTTATATTTGTGTGCGTTTTTTGTTGTTGCTATACACTGCATTCTCCTTCAAATTAGTGTATTTAAAGAGGTTGCTGTGGCTATCTAATTACTGTTTTTTGTTTCATCTAACCTAATCACCGCATATATGCGTTTTGTATGGTTTTTCATGAAACTACTGTAGACAAATATAAGTAGTATAAAATTTTCAAGCAAATAAGTATGCAACGACTAGTCCACCTTGACTTTGAAACACATCTTTCGTTTGTTTTAGAGCTAGAGTGGGTACCCTATTAACCGAGTATGACTAAGCAAAATTAACTTGGTGTCATTGATCCGTTAGCAGTATCGACGGGGTCTTCATCATTATGAAACAAACAGAGTACAATGATATTTCATTTGAATCTTGAACTGATCATTGTTAAGCCATTACTTTATTTGACCTGCACAATTTCAACATCATGACTAAAAACTGAAAAAATTATAATTTGGTTGTTTTTTCGCTCATATTTTATTTATGTATGTGGAATTTACTACCTTTTCTTCATTATCCTCGCTTCCCATTCTCTTATACTCACTTTTTAGATCCAGAGGAAATAGACATCGAGCCTCAGCTAGATCAACCACCAATGTTAAGAAATCGAAAGCAAAATACTAGTTTCCGTCATGCTGTAGATCGTTCATTATATCCTACTTCTATTACAACTACTACTGCTGATACTACTACTACCGCATACTCTAATCCTTTCGATACAAATGCTTCCCCATCATCTTCTGCTCCTCCTATACCACCACATCGTCCGCGTAGTGAAAGCGGTGGTCGTGATAAATTGCCTAATAATCCTAATCATAAAAATTCCAATAAAACAAAACATTCTAATCCTTTGTCTGAAAAATCTGCAGGTTATATTTTATTCTCTTCTTCTCCTTCAGTCTACAAAACAATTGATAAAGTTGAACGTCCTCATTCAAAATCTCGTCCTGAAATTCATTCAAAAAATAATTCTATCTCAGTCAAAGATCTCAAGTCATCATCACATTCTATTTCAAATAATAATCTCCCCACTGAACAAAAACCCAATAAAACTGGACGAATAAGTTTGAAAAATCTCTTCAGGTAAGTGACTAACAAATATTCTCATTGTACAGCCATTTTATCGTTCTTTCTTACCAACTAATTAATACACAGTAGAAAGTCATTTATCGGATCATAGGTACCTTCGTAACATTGTTCGTGTATATTGAGACCATCGAGCGGACAATCCTCAAGTTTTAAGCCCAGTGTACTAAGTGAAGATCTTTTATCACCAGATGCCCATAGGATAAGAAAAATAAATCTCTATCCTTCCTTTTAGGGGTAAACAGTAAACATTGCATCAATATGGCGAAAGTGTGTTTTCATTCTTCACGAGGTCCCGAATAATTTAACTGATGATATAATATTCTGCCTTCTCGTGATCAACTTGAAGAGACGTGACATATTGTATATTTTTATAAGAGGTTTATTCTGTCTTTTTTGGTCTAATACGATCTATAAATAAACTCATGACCAATGGATGTAAGATGTGACCGACCAATGAGTAAGCATAGGTAGACAGATACACAACTTACTGTTAAATATGTGATTTCCTTGTTATTATTGATTTCTTCTCTGGACTTCCTGAGTGTAGACTTCTTGAGTTATCTATCCTATACTCTGGTTCTCTACATTTTGGCCAAAAATCAGATAACTGGTATAAATGGATACCAGTCTATGTATAGCATATCAATAGAGGATCTAATCCAATGGTAATCTCTTGGTCACTGGTCGTATAACTGGAAATATTCCTATACTGCCATTATATCATGACCATTGTAGACGAAGCAAACGATAGTGAAAGCTTCTTAATAAAATGATTTAATTTTGGTGATGATTTCCTGAGGGAACAAATAGAGTATGAACCTATTATTTGTCACCGACTACTATGAGACTATATCTCCTAACATTGTTCCACTATCTTGTGGATTAGACCTATAGGTCAAAGGCTCGGGATGTGGCCTCTTAAGAAAACCACCTGTTTCGGTTTGAGCGCACGGATAGTATCCCAGCTGTTACACAAATCATTTGATTTATGTGGCGCGTATATATTTGATGTCTCCTTGTACTAATGTTTATGTGTTTAAATAGAAAATTTATCTGTTACCACCAGAATAAAGTTATTTTCGTTAACATGGGTAATTCTCTATATTTACTGTAGAATACTAAATGTGCCTCCAAATGCCCTGGTACGGCCGAAAGTGGGGAAAGTAAGCTGTACCTCTCGAAATCTTATCACTTGGTGACGCGTATTTAGCCTCTGCCATGGAAGTCCTACTCACTGCCTTCTCACAGTGGCGGGAGTGTTGTTTACGAAATTGAGAGGACGAAAAGCGAATGTCCGGCGCTCTACCGGGTTGGTTGGCACGGAAAGTTCACCTAGGGGAGTTGGAAAACCCTGATTCCATACCAATGGTGTACATGGGCTCCACTATCCTGAATGAACAAATGGCGTATGAACCTAACGTTGGTTACCGACTACCATGAGACTGCATTTCTTAACGTTGGTCCACTCCTTTGTGGACCAGATCTTTAGGTCGAAGGTTCTCTGTGTGGCCCCCAAGGAAAACCATCTGCTTCGGTTTGGGCACCCGGGCAGTACTACAGCCTTCAAACAAATCAAATGAGATTTGTGTGGTGCATATATTTCTGGTACTTCCTTGTACCAATATTTATGTATTGTAGCTTATAATCTATATTTGTTGAATTTTTATTCAAACAACAATTCCTGTTATATTTTTCATAATTTAATAGAATTGGTAACTCTAAAACTGAATCCGATTTAAATAGTGAATATTTATTACATAATTCGGATCAATCTAAAGCATCATCGGAGACATCCACTGTTCTATCTAAAAAACAATTACGACGTCTTTCAGTTCCAGAACATCAATTAACTAATAACCTCATAACATCAACAAAATTGATCGATAAAATTCATGAAAACAACAGTTATACTACTACTCCTCCACCTCCTCCTCCTTCTACTACTACTACTATTCCATCTAGTTTGTCAAAATTATTGAACACCACTACTCATTGTATGAATTCCAATATCATTTATAATGATTCTATGTATAAAACACTATCACCGAATATAATGCATAATAATCCTACTAATTACAAGACTATCTCTGTAAATCATCCATATTGTCCTCCTCCTGATATTAGTCCACCACCGTTACCACCTCGTGTTAGTTATTCAACACCATCTGTATTAACAACAAAATCGAATCATTCCAAAATGATTAAATATCATCCATTACCAGGACAACAATCTAATAATAATTCTACAATGATTGATAAAACAAAACAGAATAAACGTAAAAAATCATCATATTCAATGACCACATCTGTTGTTTCATCCTATTCAACTAATCATCAATCATTATCATCTCCAAGAATAACTTCAACAGCTTCGTCTCCAGCTTATGGCTTAACACTCAACACCGTTGAACCAACAAGTAATATAAAATCGAATTTTAGTCATGATGACAACAACAACTCATTAGTAGCTAATGACAATTCTCGTGGTCGTCGTCGCCGTCATCATCATCACCAACAAGATAGTATTCTCTCTGAAAGTTCCATTAAACCTCAGGTTCGTAATGTTTTTTAGAAAGTGAATTTATTTTTGAATTGAAGAAAATACTTTTTGAACCAGAGAACTTCTTTATGATCTAGAGAACTGTAGTAAAACTGAAACAGTTTGGTGGCCGGTTTTGATTTATGATGAAGGTTACTTCAATCTCAATCACTGATTGATACCATTCAGCTCATTTTTAATGAGGTCATGGATATTAACTTTTGAATTGATTATAAACGAAAGGATATCAATTCCTTTAAAGGTATGAGAACAGTTGTCACTTTTCAGTGATTTACATCGTAGGAAAACATTCCTTTTTGAAGTCTATGTATAGGAATTACTGGTAAGGGTGATTGATTTTGATAACTTGGGGGCGTAACTCCAATGCTCATAGGACAATTATTGGAGAACAGTCACATACGCCTTTGAATTTGTCAGTACTATGATTTCCGAATCTAATGACTAGCAATAGAAATGTGTGCAGCAAGATAAGAGCTGTTATTTTTAAGTTCGACGCTTTCCCATCCTCTTTTTCTCTTGTGGAAACATGCCACTGGTGTCACACCCCTAATCGTTTAGGAGCTCGATCTCACCTTCAAACTATGAGTTAGTTAGTTTCAATCCTTACCGCTATCCAACCAACTTTCTGAGATGGGAGGTCCTAACAGAACAAATGTTTCAGCCAATGTGGCTCGATTGGATCATCACAATAAACAAACCCGACCACAATGTCAAGATAACAACTAAGGTTGAGCTGAGTAGTTCCGAACTATGATGAAACATCTCTTCAGTGAACTCCGATTTTTAATAGTCCTATCGTAAAAACTGTCTCCAAAAAGCTATGATTAAATACTATAACTACTATCTGTAACCAGAATTACCTTATTAACTGTATTCAGAGACCTAATATGATAAACATAACATCACTGATTATTCCGGTTATCGTCATTTACATTGTTCTTTTTGAATTCGAAATGTATCTTCTCAACGAAAAAAACATGAAGATGTTTCAGTCAAGAAAACTTTTCTTACGATGATATCATTTACTTGGACTGTAGATTCGTATTTATAATAATTATCTAACATTTAGTGTTTATTTGTTTGAACACATAAATATTGGTACAAGGGGGCACCAAATATATATATATGCCACACAAATCTCATTCGATTTGTGTGAGGGTTGTGGTGCTACCTGGGTGCCCAGACCAAAGGAGGTGGTTTACTTAGGAGGCCACACCCGGAGTTTTCGACCTAAAGATCTCACCCACAATATAGTGGAGCATCGTAAGCAGATGCAGTCCCGTGGTAGCCGGTGACCAACACTACGTTCATACGCCATTTGTTCCATCAGGATACTGGAGCCCATGTGCACCATTGGTTTGGAACCAGGGTTTTTCCAATTCCCCTAGGTGAACTTTCAGTGTGCACCGACCCGAATAAAGCCCCTGACATTCGCTTTTCGTCCTCTCAATTTCGTAAACAACACTCATGCCACTGTGAAAAGGCAGTGAGTAGGACTTCAATGTCAGAGGCAGTATGCGTGTGACCATTTGAGAGGATTTCGAGAGAGAGGACCGACTCTCTCCCCTCTCGGTTATACCAGGGCATTTGGGGGCACATTTAGTGCACTTTTGACAAACTTATCTAATATCGTACAGTAACATTCATAAATTGAAATTTCTTATCTATATTTTCTAATATTTCAGACACCAGCTATTTATATGAATTCTAAGCAGATTAATAAAGATTGTAATAAAAAATCTACTCCATCTCCTCATCGTTCACGTTCAACACATGCTCGTCTATCATTGAATGATAATATTACAACAACAACAAATACGGTAGCAACAATAATGTCAACAATGAATTCACCTGAATCAATTCATTATTATCAAGCACCATTAATTTCTAGTCATTCAGTTTTAATGTCAACTCCACGTCGTCATCGTCATTTACAAGATGGTCGAAAATCCGAATATTATTTAAATAATAGGTAATGTGCACATTCACGACCACATTTAAGATTGTATCCTTGTTTATTCGACAAACGCTTAACGTTTACTTTCTCTTTTTTTTCTGAGATTCGTCTAGTAGTGAATAGATTATCTCACTCATGCCTCATATTGACTTTAATTTTGTGTATGTTTGCTGTTTGTTTGAAATTTTATTCTCTTTCTAAATTATGGATTCAAACTGTTTAAAATATAAACCAATGTAGACGAAATAAGCAAATATATATCAACTGAAGTTCGTGTATCTAGGTAGCTGCATAAGTGCTGGTGGTGGCGTGAGTGATGAGATTGATGCACTTATGGTGAAAACCAGAGCTGATTATGCTAATCTCGGCCATCTTTGGCGCCTTCGTGATGTTAGTCTGGCTGTAAAAGGTCGGATCTACAACGCGTCGGTGGGAGCAGTTTTGCTCTATGCTTGTGAAGAACTGGTCTCTCCAAGTTGAGGATGTTAGACGACTCTGTGTTCGATCATCGTTGTCTCCGAAGGATTGCTGACATCCAGTGGCAACACCATGTTAGTAATACAGAGGTTTGGCACAGTGTGTTCGGGAGCAGAGACGATAATTCAATTGGTGTCACCATCTTGAAACATTGACTTCGGTGGCTTGGACAAGTTATACGAATGTCATCCCAGAGAATTCCACGTCGTGCATTATTTGCCGACTCTGGGACTGGTTGGAAAAAGCGGAGAGGTGGTCAGTGTATGATATGGTGTCGTGGTATGAAAGAAAGCTGCAAAGGGCTAGTTTCTGTTGGTCCTTCACAACTCCCTGGCTGGAGTCCGAGAGATGGTGCAACACAGTGACTAGAGACGTTATCGGATATGGCTCAGAATAGAAGCCAGTGGCGATCCTGCTGTAACCTTTTACTTTCTGCATAAAGAGTGGTCATAACCTCCTTAAGTGAGAGAGTTCTTCTGGTTGCACATTTCATTTTCCACCACCATTACTCTTATTTTATTTTTCATATATGCATCTTACCCCTTTCTCTCCCCATTTTCATTGTTTTGTGTGGCGCATGAATATCTGGTGCCCCCTTGCACCAATATTTATGTGTTTAAATAAACAAATATCAACTGAAAATCTTTAAAACCGATTGACGACTGAGTAGTAGGTAAGTAGTGTTTTTCTTCCCTAGTCCTTATTGTGTGCGCTTTGGATTATTGGATCGATCAATTACGCAATATGTGGTCACTAAACTTAAAAGTCTCATTGTTACATACATTCTATTTTGGTGTAAAGTATATGATGGGAATTGACAAGAAGTTATGACTGGATCTCCTTGGTTTTGTACAAATTGCGAGAAGACATATTAGTCATTATGTTACTGAGTTGTGCCAGATTCGTCTTAGATGATATATATTGAATAATATGTGTGTGTCAGTGTGTCGATTGTTGTCCTCGTTATTAAGGTCAGAAAAGTTGTTTAAACGTAGTTCGCGCTGTGTTGATGTAGTTCGGCAACCGATACACATATATGCCAGGTTCTACGTTGCTTGCTTATCCACTGACCGGATGAATTATGTGTAACGATAAGCTTATCATGTTCGTCTGTATGTGTGTGTGAAACTAAACAGTTGTCAATTGCTCTTTGGTCTTCAATATAGAGTAACCTAATATACTCCCGGTTTCTAACAAATATCATGGACAAATGAAACTTATCTCTATGAAATATTTTGATAACAGGTATCAGGGAATGATGGTAAATCAGTTGATAAGGTTATACATTTTCATCGACTGAGATGGTTGGGCCACGTGCTACGTATGCTTGAACACCGATTACCACGACGCGCTATGCTGACTAGTATTGCGGATCGTTGGAAGAGAGTTAGGGGCGGCCAAACCAAAACGTGGCATCAGTCCTTGAAGTCACTAACTTCTAGTCTGAGCCATGTTGGCAGATGCAGACTACTTGGTTGAGATCCGCGTGATCTGTAGAATGAAGTTATATTTATTTATATATGTAAACACACACGTATGTGACTAACTTAAATCTTCTATGACATTAATTCCTTTTTTGTATTTTCTATTTCTGTATAGAAAACAACAAGTTACTATGCAAGAAGCATCATTAATAGTTCCTTTTTCAATGGATAAATTAATTACTCCAAAACGTTCAATTCATCATCAACATTAATGAATTATCCAGTATCAGCTTACCTAATATGTATTCTACAATTATAGTATATTACTCTTGTTCCCTCTCTCTCTCTCTCTCTGTATTTCCGGTTTTGTATAATGTCAAGATTACGATCAACCAATTATTTTCATCTATTTAATTACTTGAAAAAGAAAATTCCCGCCCCTCCCCTCGCCCGATTATTTTGATACGTTGACTGTTTATAAATTTCTTTCCATAAGACTGTTGAATCCAGTCTTCATTATAAAACAAACAAATATGGTATACATATACATATCAGTGGCCTGAATCTCACGAATTCATCAATTTTCCTTTCCTCTTCTTGATCCTGATCTATTTGCCAATGATTATCATTTAGAAAATTGTGCCTTAAACTTTTGTAATTTAATTTATGTTTGTTGCCATCGTTACACTTGGCTAGTAGTAGTTGTATTATCACAACCATATCGTATATATTCTGTCTCATTTTAATAAGCATGTATTAACATATCATTATCATTAACAACAACAACAACAAAACAACTTTACTTATGATCCTCGTTTCTACTCTCTCATCTTGTATTAATCGTCTTGTGTGTGTGTGTGCGGTAAATCTCAGATCTCAAATCATGCCTTTTACTCTATTTTTTTTTCTCCAATAATCAAAACATTTTGTATTTGTAATCATTGTTGCTCTCCCTCTTTATCTCCCTTTAATATACATATCATGATAAATATGTAGTAAGTATGTACAAAATGGGTTTTTATTTTGTATACGGACTTGCTTTTTGATGCTTCATAATGCTCTATCCTCCTAACTTACTTATTACTTTCACTATTTCCAATTATAGTTGTAACCAGTGTTTTCATGATGGTTCTCAATATCTTTATTCAGAATTATTGATCTATATATTGTTCTATTGTTTCCAGTAATGGATGATAAACATTCCATACACCTTTAACATTTCTTCGCTTGATATTTGTCATCCTTCGATGGCTTCTTTATCCTTGAACTACTTCGACTGTTTCATAGCATTTATTTATTGACTTTGAATAATTATTGCAGAGTTCCAAAGAGCTTGATATAATAAGAGATATCTCACTGTGTCGGTCTATTCGTCAATAGTTCTTTTCACTGTATATCAGTAGTCTATTCACAATGAGTAGTATATTGCTGAATCTATATTGATTCTATCATTATTTGTGTTGGTTAATGATATGAAGTAAATAACTTTGTATATCTTGAATGTAAGTAGTATACACCTTGTGATCGATCAATCTCGTTGTGTTTGTTCTTGTTTTTTGTGTGTGTTTTTCTACATATTGACGTATATATGCTAATCCACTCGAATTGTGTCTTTTTGCCAGTTGGATACTATACTTTTTTTTTCCTGATTACTTTCTTGATTTGCTCCTTTAATTGTTGAATAATTTTTCTTTTGTGTGTATGTAAGTGTTTACCTTGTCTTTTCTTTTTGATGTTTTGTTAATTTGTCTACCATTGAATAATAATGTCTTGAGTTCTTCTTACGTTTTTTGTTACTGTTGAGGAGTTACAACTGTAAATAGTTGATTGTAAAAATATCTATGGTAACCTTTGTGTGATTCACACTGATCCTTGATATACATGATTGTGTGAAGGTCTAATTTTCATGAGGCAATTGAAGCTAGAACACGATGGAAAACCTGAAAGCACTGGACGACCGTTTCGCCGGCCTATTATGGGACTCCTCAGCAGTGCGCGAGATTCGAACCCAGGACTTACCAGTCTCGCATCAGAGCACTTCACCGATAGACCACTGAGCCGGTATCCCAATTTGTTGGGTCAATCAAGTTACAAAGAAAAGGCTACCATCTACTGTTGATATTGGGTGGAGACCGAATCACATTGTGTATTGTTTAAAGTTGAAAATATGAATCGATGGTCACAATATTCGAGCGCTATGCATTCACTCATTTGTAGGGTCATACATCAGAACATTTTCCTATTAGGACGAAAAAGCTATCAAGTGCCTTTGTACTTAATTAATGAATCAATTTTCAAACGATATGCATTTGAAAAGGGAGATTTAGTTTTGTTAAAATAATTTAGACTTGAGGTTTCAGATTGATTGGTACTGGTCAGTAGAGCGGTATTTGCGATTCGAACTTGTCACCCAAAACGTCACCACTGAGCGACTCGGGATTCAACCGACCTCTCATAGGACTGATGATTATATGAATAAACACATATATGCATTAGCTACTAAATAATAACCTAACTTATCAATGGATTGTCAATCAATCAGAACTAGTGACTAATCAATGATTATCGTTTTTTTCAAAATATCGAATGTTAATTGTGTCATAGTTCACAAGAAACTTGAGTAAGTTTCCAAGCAAAAGGGTTTTTTAGCTGTTTAATACTGCGAAACAGTAGAGATGATAATTCATCAGTGTAAAGTAATAAACGATCTTAACTTTGAATTCCTTCTGACTGAATTGACTAAAAAGTAGTCGAATGTCTGGATTCTTCTGTAGTCTGTATTCAACGTTATTACTGCCACAAGCTTAAAGGTACAAATTCTCAAGATGGAATTTTAAGGCATTCCTTAGATTTATGTTTCACTCAAACTTAGTAAAACAGTATCGGCCATTAAAATGGTTTATTTATTTAAACACATAAATACAAGGAAGCACCAGATACATATGCGCAACACAAATCTCATTTGATTTGTGTGAGGGCTGTGATACTGCCCACGTGCCCAAACAGAAGCACGTGGTTTTCTTATAGGGTCACTCCCCAAATCTTTGACTTCGAGATCTGATCCACAAGGCTGTGGAGCATCGTGAGGAGATGCAGTCCCATGGTAGTCGGTGACCAACGATTGATTCATACGCCATTTGTTCTTTCAAGATACTAGAGTCCATGTGCACCATTGGTTTGGAATGAGGGTTTTCCAACTCTCCTAGGTGAACTTTCCGTGTCCACCAACCCGGTTAAAGTGCCCGATTTCGATTCAAATCGTCCAACATCTGTAACACTGGTCACGACAATCATGCAGTACGCAGCCGGGCTGTTAACAACTACCTGGACGTCTCATTTTAAGAGTCCATGACTTCATGGATTGATGTCAAATGTTGGTAATGGTTCCGAGTTTTATATTGTGACTCTACAAGATATAGAACAATTGACCTTCACGGCTCCTGATTAATGTTTAACATTCAGACCACGCAGTCCGCAATTATTCACAAGAGAAAAGTTTGGTTCTAGGGAGGCACCACGACTAGTAAAGTTTAAGAATATCTGATGAGTTGCATAATATGAAGAATCGATTGAAGTTAGAAACATGTAAGGAGCTTATCGCAGGATCTGAATGTCCTGGCTTCGATCACCGGTGAAGTCATGGATGCCCATTACTGAGGCGAGGCCTCATGATGTCTGCACTGCCCCTTAAATGCCCTGGTACGGCCGAGGATGGGGAGAGTCCGCTCTTCCTCTCCAAATGCTATCACATGGCCACGCGTACACAGTCTCTCTGAGGGAAGTCCTACTCACTGCTTTCTCACATCACTAAGATCAGTGATATAAACTAGAAAACTCGATCACACAAACCTTCCATGATCATATCCATCAATACAACTTGGTCCTGAGTCAATAAAGATCAATATGATGTATTATCCGACTGTACTTTCTTCGAGCATATGAAAGACAAAGTGCTCTTATACATAATAGGTTTCAATAAAAGTAAAAAAAATCATATTAAAATAGACTAGAAATTCTTTTTAATGCCTTAATGATTAACCATTGTTCATCGGACATATTTTCACCATTCAATTGAATGAATTTTTTAAATACAAATTGATCCAAGATAAAATCCCATGAATGTGTTCGACATTCTGCACCATGAAGATGCAGAGTTATCTCGGATAAAAAATCATTCAATGGGGGATCTACATTACCATTTTGAGAATGATCAAAATAGATAGATTGAAAGATTCCACCACGGCTAAAGTCAATCACAATGGAACCAAATTGACTGGTAAGATTAGATAGATTAGGTTCATAATTTTCTAATGTTAATTGAAAACTTGGTGAATGACCATAAATCCATGACCATGTTTGTGATAATGCTAATCCTTGTTGAAAATCTTTGATGGAATGAATAAATTGATCTTCTTGACCTTCAAATATTTTGGTTACCATAGGGTTAGATGTAATTGAATCGTTCTATTGGCGGAAAAAACAATGTTCTTATTCAAAACGATTGTATACTACTGAATTAAGATTTAGTAGTATTTTAATGAATAAAAGAAAAACAAAATTTCGTTCTATATAAGAATAATGGTTGAACCTTTGAATATTCATGAGATTACTAAGCTAGGAGAAGGAGACAGAACTAAGAAAATACGATCTTATTCACTTTGTTCTATGCCAGATTTAGTAAATTTCTGTGTTTAATATCAGTTCTTGTTCAGTGTTGAAAGTCGAGGTAAAAGGAATAGTAGGAAGTGAAGAAGGAGATTGATTATCAATACAGTGATCTTGAGTGCTGTTAGAGGTATGAGGGCAGTTATCACTTCCCGCTTGGCCACACCGTAGAAGGGTTCTTCTAGAGGTACCTCAAAAGGAAATCGGGTTAGAAGTGGTCTTAATAATATGAGAGCGTGACCGCAATGCCCAAGGGACAACTGCTTGACGTCAGTCACACACGACCTTTTTGTGGGTAGCTTTTGTGTTAGCTCCGTACTTGTTGGGACCCTACCGCCGGAGATCGATATCCGTGGGATAAGGTGAGGTGTGCATTTTTGGGGTCGACCTATTCTAACTCCACCCCTCCTTGTGGGAAGGCAGCATCGCTGTTATGCTGGTTGTCTCAAGGAAACACCTTGCTGCTCTCACACCTCTGAACAGTCAGCAGTACGACTTCGCCTTCGGACCTTAGGTTTGTTGCTTATAGTCTTACCGCTCTTCAACCGACGTATCTGGCATGGTAGGACCTTGAGGAACGATTGTTCCAGCCAGTATAGCTTGATTGGTTCATCACGATAGGGAAGCCCGACCACCACGTCAAGGTAGCAGCAACGGTCGGTGTTCATCTTGTTGTGCTATGGAGGTATGGCAACTCGAACCGATGCATAAATGTGCCTGGTCCTACGCTGTAGCTGACTGACTGACTCTTGTTCAGTGGTAATCACATTCATTTTGAAAATTCACTCTTTCAGTTGACCAGTGGTGTTACTGAATACAGTATGCTTTTTACATGGATGTACTAACCCGTTACGTGGTAACTATAAATAACTAACGATAATTCATTTAGGTAGTATAGATAGATAGATAAACGAGAAGGTAAAACACTGAACGTAGCGGCGAGTAGATTACTGTTTTTTCCGCTCTTATGTGCTACACAACTAAAAAAAATTCGCAAATCAAGGGGAAAAGAAGAAAGTATGCAATGAACAGCATATAGCGTAGTAGTAGAAGTGGTAAGGTTCTCATTACTTAATGTAATATCCATAGAGTGCGTCATTATCATCTAGATTTGTTATTGATCATTAGTTCCTTACATTGTAATAGCCTCGATTAAATAGCTTTACACTGATCTAGATAAAATTTATTGAATCTATGAGTTGACACCATATATCAGTATAGTTATCAATATTTTATCAAGATCACGAATTGATCTAAGTTAGATAAGCATTGAAACATGAAATCACTGGATGGCAGTTTTGTCCCAATATATGATTACTCAACAGTACGTATGTCCGACTCTGAGACCTGGCATCGAACCCAAAACGTTCGGTAACACTTAGCCTCTAAACGATTGAGTAAAGATTTAATGATATACAGGTCTGATTACAATTAATCCAGAACCGTTGGGTGCCAACTCAGTAGTCTAAAGGTTAAGCGTTTGAGCGCGATACTGAAAGTTTTGGACTTGATTCTAAGTTACAGGGTCGTGAATAGAGATAACTAAAGAGTCCCGTACTAGGACTTAATAGCCTTTCAGGAATTCCAGACTTTCGATGATGGTCTAACCTTGATCGGTTCATAATTTTCAATGGAAAACAATAACTATATCTAACAGACTCTTGGAAAAATCATGATTCATTATCTACTGAGAGCTGAGTTAAACGAATAACGTGGTTTACAAAATGAAAGTAATAACTAACACCTGACATATATGGATGTATTTACTTGAAATCGATTACAGTGGTATAGTACTGATGAAAAAGTGTTCCTTTTTTTAGATGTACGATTTAATTGTGAAGTTTTTGTTATCTTCCTAGAGAATGTTAATAAAATCTACCGCTTAACTAGTCAATCAATCAGTTAATCATAAGCATTGTAGAACATAAACACAAACATACATCGATTCAAATTGCTACAATAAAGACAGACATGAGAAGAATGAAATAAAAACTGGATAGAACTAGAAAGGAAGGCCCATGAGAGAGTAAGTTGAAGAATGCTAGTCGGCGGCCTATGATCCATTGGGAGTAACAGGCATAAGTAAGTAAGTAGTACTAGTAATACTACTCAAATAAATGATAGTCAACAAAAAAACTACTAAACAAAATGATAACAATCAGCTTAGATTTATTCATCATCTAAGTAGATTAGGTTTTATTAACAGTGAACTCAATATATAAGAAAAATAAACATCCATTTACAATTGAATATTATGATTTAAAATATGTTGGGGTGATCCAGAAAACTTCTCGTACAAGATAAGAAAGGTTCAAGAAACAATAAGAAGCATTTTATTCAATCAGTCCTACTGTACTTCAAAGTGAGAATCTTCAATACGAACGTCAAGACAATCCTACTGTACGGAGCAGAAACGTGCAGAACTACTACATCCATCGTCACGAAGATACAAGTATTTATAAACAGCTGTTTACGCAAAATACTCAACATTCACTGACCGGATACTATCAGAAACAACGTTTTATGGGAGAGGACAAAGCAGCTTCCAGCTGAAGAGGAGATTAGGAAAAAACGTTGGAAGTGGATCGGACATACATTAAAGAAATCACCAAGGCAAGCCCTTACTTGGAATCCGGAAGGAAAGCAGAAAAGAGGGAGGCCAAAGAACACATTACGCCGGGAAATAGAAGCAGATATGAAAAGAATGAATAATCACTGGAAAGAACTGGAAAGGATTGCCCTGGACAAAGTTGGATGGAGAATGCTGGTGAGCGGCCTATGCTACTCCACGAGGGGTAACAGGCGTAAGTAAAAAGTAAAACTAAAAAAAAAAAATTCACGAAAGTGAAAAGTCATATGTCGAGTTTCTCATTGGCTGATTACTATACTGCTACTATGTTTAGTAGCATTCCAGAATTCTCAGAAAAACCCAGGGACTTCTAAAATACTATTAAAACCCTTTATTTAATGTACATAAATGAACCTTTGGAGTAAAATGTTTCTCACATATATTACTCCCTTTCTTTCATGTTCACGTTGTTGAGTAGTTTTAGCTTGGGGGTTATGAGACTAGCTTAGAAACCAAGTATAGAGTTCAATAAGGTAAAACTTATTCAAAATATACAATAAAAGATTATCATTACTTTAAATATCCATTTTAAACTATTTTCTATTATTGAATTTAAAAGTAATTCAATATTTAAATTTAAATTTTTCACTGGACTTCGAATACTATCAGTTGCTTTGGTTTTTAAATTTACCTGAAAAGAACAAACATAATAAACAAAATACATTAGAATTTATATAATTACAAACAAACTTAATCATTATAAGCAAAGATGAATAGTGGGTAGCAGTGGAATCCAGTTTGATGCGCGCCACTTCGTCCTATTTGGGATTCGTCAACTGGATGTACCTGCATCTCAGAGTTGATGTTCACTCTGAGACTAGAACCCAGTACTGTTCGCTTCAAACGCCATTGTGTTATCCACTCAGCTACTGAGTTCTGATAGCCACTTGCTTGTGCTAAGTGAATAGCGCGATGGCGTTTGAAGAGAATGGTACTGGGTTCGAGTCCCAGAGTGAACATCAACTCTGAGATGCAGGTACATTCAGTTGAAGAGTCCCAAATAAGACGAGAGGCGCGTCAAACCGGATTCCATTGCTAGCCACTATTCATCTTTCCTTATAATGCTTGTGAATTAAGGCTATATCGAAGCAATACGCATAGTATGCCAATAAGAGACTGACCAGTTGCAGTCCTAAACATCAATGGGAAGATTCAAACAAAGAATACTAAATGAATTGGGGGTTTATGTTCTTTTAGTTTCTTTCGGATCTTTTTGGTTTTGACAACCGAATTGTTATGACTCGTAAGTTGAACGCTTTATTCGGATCCTAGCTATTCGGATAACCCCAGGCTAGCACTACTCAGCGACTTGGAAGACCAGAGAGAAGACACGAGTATCAGAGAAATCACTTTACTACAAGGTTCAATTATGTACAGAAAAACAGGGGTTTTATAGTAGCTAAAAGACCTTGAGATCCCATAGTAACAGTATGTTAACAGCCAATCAGGACCTTGTTATTTTAGTAGCATAGCTTCAAACTAATCGCTGATTGGTTGGTCTCTTTATGAGCCTCTCTGGAGGCTCTGATAGAGTTTATTGTAAGCCGACCTAACAGAATAGTGTCATAACCTCTCGTGTTTATGGTTTAGCTCATACATAAATACGTGAAGAATAAGTTAATTATATAGTGCATCTTGCTAAATGAACTCTCGATTTGATTTCGTAACCTCTTCTAATAATTCCAGACTAAATCTACACAACAACTTGTACATAAGAGAACTGCGTAAACCTAAGATTGATGTGTAGTGAACAAGAACAGGAGTAGGGAAAATCAGATGTATGTGAGCACAAAATTACAGACTATTTCATTAAAATCTGACAACCATACAGTAAACAGTTAATTTGCAAATTATCAATCAGTCGTCTCAATGTTGACTATTCCTTCTGCAAATATCAGTTCATCGTCTCCGATTATTATTGTTCACACATTTTAATACCAATTGCGTTCCGTTCTAGTTCCTTCCTTATCGATCATTCTATTGAAATACATTCAATGCCTGACCATCGTTACATACTACTTATGTGGATATAAGTAATCTACACCAGGTTTTATTTGACTTTCAAAATAAGTCGAAATGATTAAAGAATGAATCACATTTTACATGATCTTTACTTATTATTTATTTAAACACATAAATATTGGTACGAGGAAGCACCAGATATATATGTGCCACACATATCTCATTTGATTTGTATGAAGACTGTGATACTACCCAGGTGCCAAACTGAAGCAAGTGGTTTTCTTAGGGTGCCACATCCGGAACCTTTGACCTAAAGATCTGATCCACAAGACAGCGGAGCATCGTAAGGAGATGCAGTCCCAAGGGAGACGGTGACCAACGATTGATTAGTACAACATTTGCTCCTTCAGGATACTGGAGCCCGTGTGCATTATTGATTTATAATGAGGGTTTTCCAACTTCCCTAGATGAACTCTCCGTGTTCACCAAACCGGTTAAAACATCAGACATTCGCTTTTCGTCTTCTCACTTTCGTAAACAACACCCCCGCCACTGTGAGAAGACAGTGAGTAGGACTTCACTAACAAAGGCTGTATACGCGTGACCATGTGAGAGCATTTAGAGAGGGAGAGCGGACTCTCCTCACTCTCGGCCGTACCAGGGCATTTGGAGGTTATTTACAGTTAAATTAACAATCAAATTTGATCTAAGTTACATTTAACAATATTAATTCATTAGGTCACTATATGAACACATGAATACAATATTATACAATTAAGCACCTACAATCCTTCTCATGATGTTACAAATGCATGTCATATATGATTGAGAGAAAAAGATTAATTTTATATTTCAATCATAATCCAACCGATTAACATATTCACTTGCTATATCAACTTACAACTCTGTAATATTCATGGATATATAATGCTAAATAGACTAATTCTATGAAAAATTAGTTATCTTTTAAAAATAGACTCCAAGCTAATAAGGATTATAATTAAAAAGTGAACTAATCTCCATAATCTTAATTAAATAAATCAACTATTATTTTATAGTTTAATTCATGAGTTAGTTGAAGTTAGACCATCATGGAAAACGTGGAAGCACTGGACAACCGTTTCTTCCTATTGTGGGACTGCTCACTGGTAGTGCGTATCCACGATCACACCTCGCGAGATTCGAATCCAGAACCAATCAGTCTCGCACGTGAGCGCTTAATCTTTAAACCACTGAGCCAGCATCCAACAGTGTTAATGTCTAACTTTAAATGATCCACGAAATTGAGCAACCGTTTATCATTGTTTTCAGTGAGTTAGTATATCACAACAGAACTGGTTGAACTCCACTGGTCATTGCTTCACACTAGAACTCCAGGAAATATCCCGCGACGCGAGATCGTAGATGCGCACTTCTGAGGAGTCCCATACAGGGATGAAACGGTCGTCCAGTGCTTCCAGGTTTTTCACGGTAGTCTAGCTTCAATTGATTAATGAATTCAACTAGGAAATTACTAAAATCTCTACAAAACCCCTTTCGACTATTATTTGATATAGAGGTTTCATGAATAATGATCATAGTTAAGATGGTATCTTTGGAAATCAGAAAATTATTAATGAACAGTGATTTTGTTATAGTATTTGTTTATCCATTTTGTTGCTAGCAATACTTAGGTTGTTAATTTATAATAAACACGAACTTACTCACTAATCTATTGAGTAATTTGATTACTATTATATTTAAAACTATTTAATCAACTGTAAAATACATTTTACTTCAGTGTGTCTAATTTACAGATGACATAATTAAACAAATATCAATTTAGTTTATTATCACACTTAAAACTCAACAATCTCCATGTGAGGATGATCCATAGATGAAGTCGAGGAAGCTCTAAGAAGATCAGAAAGAGTCGGACATATTTCATCAAATCGGCTTTGAGAAGAATATTCTAGAATCACTATGTGTAGCTTCCCTTTTGAACAATGCTGATAACTCTCTATGTGCGGATTGGATAACTATAATGATGATTTCGTTTCTATTAAAAACTATAAATACCTGACAATTTTTTACCATAATCGACACTGTTCCGGAATAACATTCCTTTTACTTGTCTTCTGCTTTTATGACTTGGAAGCGTTCTAGCGTTCTAGTGCTCAAGTATTACGCGACCGACTAAGAAATCTTAGTTTGAGATATAACACTCCATAACTCTATACTGATAATTATCATATACTCACTCGGTGACTATCTTCGAAAGTTAATGATTGAAGTCCTAATGAGAAGCTGTGACCAGTGGAATTCAACCGTGTCAGATGTGAGGCAGTTACCCATCGTTGGATACCGGCTCAGTGGTCTAGAGGTTAAGTGTTCGTGCACGAGACCGAAGGTTCTAGGCTCGAATCCCGCGTGCAGGATCATGGATGCGCACTACTGAGGAGCCCTATACTAGGATAAGACGATCGTTTAATGTTTCCAGGTTTCTAATCGTGGTCTAACATTGATCCATTCATGATCTTAATAACAATATCAACTTACTTTTATGAGCTTATCAAAGAAATAATCTTAGAACCAGTATTGTCAAGGTAATTCAAAATTTCATTGATTTGTTGTATTATGTAGAATGTTATTATTAACAGTAGTTTTCTTTCAATATAATACCACCCACTTCATTAACTTCGTTGAAAAAATTAATCGAGTGTGTGTGTGTGTGTGTGTCATTTTTTCAGTTTCCAAGTCAAACAATATTCGAGTCAAGTTTCAAATCTCATTACTTCTCCTATTTATCATTTTGTCAGTAACTATTCAGGTCAATGTGTATTAATACTAGATCCTATATTGCTGAACGATTGATTGATTAGTTAATGGATATCAAATAATGACTCAAGAAAATTAACCTTATTAGTTGGAGTTTATAGATCTGAGGTTGTTAAAAACAAAGTATTCATTAAACTGTAATTATCAGAGTATTTTTAATCTATAAATGACAAAAGTTGATAGGGGTAAGTCACCAAATGCCCTAGTACGGCCAAAAGTGGGGAGAGTCCGCTCTCCCTCTCCAAATTCGCTCACATGGTCACGCGTATATAGTCTCTACCAGGGAAGTCCTACTCACTGCCTTTTCGTGGCGGGGGTGTTGTTTACGAAATTGAGAGGACGAAAAGCGAATGTCCGACACTTTAACCGGGTTGGTGGACATGGAAAGACAACCTAGGGGAGTTGGAAAACCCCAATTCCAAACCAATGGTGCACATGAGCTCCAGTATCCTGAGAGAACAAAGGGAGTATGAATTAATTGTTGGTCACCATCTAACATGAAACTGCATCTCTTTACGATACTCCACTGCCTTGTGGATCAGACTTTTAGGTCAAAGGCTCCGGGTGTGGCCCCTTAAGAAAATCACTTGCTTCAGTTTGGCCACCTGGGCAGTATCACAACCCTCACGCAAATCGAATGAGATTCATGTGGCGCATATGTATCTGGTGCCCCTTTTGTACCAATATTTATGTGCTTAAATGAATAAATAAATGATAAGGTAAACAGAAGAGATATTAGGAAGCGAAGAATGAATTTGATTGTCAACAAAACGATTTCATGTACTGTCAAAGGTATGAGGATGTTTGTCAATTTTCGATTCCTCGAACAGTGGAACGATACTTTATCTTGAGCGATATAATGATGAAATCAAGTCATATGTTGGCTAAACAACCTGGGAGAATGATCCTAGAGCCTAAACGACAGCTAACAGGGACCACTCATAGTGCATTTTATGAGTAGTTTCTGATATCTCAGCTCCATACTTTGAAGACCTGATCGCCGCAGATGGAAATTAGTGGCGTAAGACGTGGTGTGGATAATCGTAGGTCATACCATTTCTTACCCCCCCTTCAGTTATGATAAGTCACGATCGGTCAAAACGCTAATTATCTGAAACATATTAATGCGGTTACAATCCTGTACAATGAACAGTATAAATACATCCTCTGACCTTAAGTTGTTAGTTTGTCTTATCACTTTCAAACTAACCTGTATGGAATAATAAAACATAAAGGAACGAGTGTTCTAGACAATACAGGTCGATTAGATCACCACGACATAGAAACCCGATCACCGCATCAAGGCAGTAGTTTCAGTCGAGAGAATAATATTATTAATGGTAAGAGAAAGTTTGTTTTAATTAGAGTGAAAAAGAATAAACTATTTCATTATTACAGAATGTCTGTTAAACAATTCAAACTAAATGTAAAAAAGGACGGAGTAAAATATACACTGGAATTCAATATTCACCTTTCGTTTATAAGACGGCCGAAGCATATGATAAAGAATGGTTATTAATAAAATCTAACAATATAGGCAACTGGTGACATTATAAGCAAAGATGAATAGTGGCTAGCAGTAGAATACAGGACGGGCGTTTCGTCCTATTTGAGACTCGTCAGCTGGATGTACCTGCATCTCAGAGTTGAGGTTCATTTTGAGACTAGAACCCAGTACCTTTCGCTTCAAACACTTGCGAATTAAGGCTATATAGAGGTAATACGCAAAGTACGCACATATGGCGAATAAGAGACTGACCAGTTGCAGTCCTAAACAACAGTGGGAAGATTCAAACAATACCACATGAATTTAACTGGTGACATTGTTTTTCAGTTCAAAACACGTTGCGTAAACATATAGAGAAAGAATATTAGGAAACCTACACTTCTCCTATCACTTAAAGGGATTCCATGAATGATCTTGGAATGTCTATACCCTATTCTAAATAACCAGTAAACATACTGTGACTCTGTAGAAATTCTTTAAAATTAGGTCAAGTAACAACGATCTGATAATTATGCATCACAGACATTTACTCGTTTGGCTTTTGCCAACTTACGTCACCTATGACGAAGGCGCGATATCTGTCTATCAATCAAGGGACGAGTATACTGCACAAAAGTTCTCTCTGTTCTACTTTGCGGCTGTGAAACGTGGCCATTAAGAGTAGAAGATACTCGTAAGTTACTAGTATTTGACCACAGATGCCTTAGAAATATTGCTCGCATCTTCTGGGATAACCGGGATAAGTAATAGTAAGGTTAGGCACAGGGTATTAAGGAATGATGATAAATCAGTTGATGAGGTCATGAATCTTCATCGACTGAGATGGTTGGGCCACGTGTTACGTATGCCTGAACACCGATTACCACGACGCGCAATGTTGACTAGTGTTGGAAATGGTTGGAAGAGAGTTAGAGGCGGCCAAACCAAAACATGGAATCAGTGCTTGAAGTCACTAACTTCTAGTCTGAGCCATGTTGGTAGATGCAGACTACTCGGTTGGGGTCCGCGTGACTATCGTAACCAATGGTTAGAGACTCTGTGTGACATGGCTCAGAATCGATCACAATGGCGTAGGTGTATACACTCTTTATCTTCCCTTCAACCTTGAGATTAAAGTTGCCTCATATCTGTCCTCCTTCCTATACTTTATCCTTATATACAATCTTTCTTTTATATATTACTACCACTAAATTAACTACTTCTATGAATCCAGTGTTCATCTTGTCGTGCTGATGAAGTGTGGCAACTTGGACCGATGCATATGTGTGCCTGGTCCTACGTTGTAGCTGACTGACTGAGACATTTAGCGATACTAAGACAGTTTGAAGTCTACCGTCTGTCCACCAGAGAAGCATATAATTAGCTCACATAAACAATATGTCTGCAGTAAGAAGAACCTGACATACATGACATTGATCACCACCCAGTGACCAATCAATTGTAAATACATCTCAGTCTTACAGGAGGTCAGCCAAAGACCGGATAGCTCAGTGGTAACGTCTCTGTGACATGGGATCGAATCCGTTAGAGAGCATCAGTTCCCTCAAGATTACAAGTACACCTTGCTGACAAGTGCCCCATAGCACGAAACCTAGGTTCAGAGTTTCTTATTGACTACCAACATCTGATTACACAAATACTTGATAAATGAGTTAAAATATCTAAATACATACATATGAACAACAGAAAAAGAGAATAACCTACAAAAGTCGGTTTTAGTACTTCGGATAAATTGTTTAAATTTGCATCAAAAAGTAATGTACAATGATGATAAGCCATATTAGAACCGAATTTCGATGAAGAGCCAGATATTTTCATCATGTTCTATAATTTAAAAGAAAAAAAATAACAACAATAGGCTCACTTTTTTATTATTTTATTTAAACACACTAATATTGGTACAAGGATGCACTAGATATATATGCGCCACACAAATCTCATTTGATATGTGTAAGAGCTACGATACTGCTCAGGTGCCCAAACTGAAACAGGTGGTTTACTCAGGGGGCCACACCCCAAATCTTTTACATGAAGGTCTGATCCATAAAGCATTGTGAGGAGATTTAGTCACATGGTAGTCGGTGACCAACAATTGGTTCGCATGCCATTTGTTCAATCAGGATACTGGAGCCAGCCTATGTGCACCATTGATTTGAAAATGTGGTTTTCCAACTCCCCTAGGTGGACTTTCCATGTCCATTAATCCGGTTAAAGTGCCGTACATTCGCTTTTCGTCCTCTCGATTTCGTAAACAACACCCGTGGTGTGAGAAGGTAGTGAGTAGGACTTCCCTGGTAGCGGCTATATACACGTGACCATATGAGAGCATTTCGATTGGGAGAGTGAACTCTCCGCATTCTCGGCCGTACCAGGGCATTTGGGGGCAAAAGTCTCACTTAACAATAAATGTGCATTAATAATTAGTAATGTGACTGAAATTCCATTAATAGCTTAGTGATTTTTATTTAACTATCTTTGATTAATTGTTAATTGTGCAATAACCAATTGTATTTAGGGTTGAGCGTTATATATAGAATAGTTTTTTGTTGTTATGTTCTCAGTCGTAAAGTAATATAACGTTAATTTCTGTACAGTGTACTCATCTTTTAGTTGGCAGAAAGACACTTTCTCTTACGCCATAACTGACGACAGTTAGAGAAAGCTAATGGAGATTTAGACAGACATCAACTTATTAGAGGATTACTAGACTGATGAAGATAAGTGAAGTGGTCAGCATAGTTAAGTACTAAAATTTCTGATTAGTCTAGGGGATGACAAAGACAAATCCTGGAGCAACATTTTGTATTTAAAGGGAGAGAAAAGCATTACAAATATCATTATACTGTTATTCAAGGTACAAGAAGGCACAAAATATATATGCGTCACACAAATTAAATGATTTGTGTTACAGCAGGGATACTCCTCGGGCGCCTAAACCGATGCAAGTGGTTTTCCTAGGTAGCCACTCATCGAGACTTTGACGTACAGGTCTAATCAATAAGACAGTGGAGCAAAGTCAGATGGAGTCTCATGGTAGTCGGTGAAAAACAATACGTTCATACGCCATTTGTTCCCGCAGGATACTGGAGCCCGTGTCCACCATTGGAATCAGGGCTTTCCAACGTCCCTGGGTGGATCGTTTGTGTTCACCAACCCGGGGTTGAAGCTACGGACATTCACTTTCTGTGCCCTCAACTTCGTAAACAACACTACTGCCACCGCGAGAAGGCAGTGAATATGACTTCTTTAACAGTTACAGTACACGCGTGGCCGTGTAAGAGTACTTCGAGAGGGAGAGCAGACTATCTCCACTCTTGGCCATACCAGGGCATTTGGGGGCGTCTGATGAATTGACTGATTATAAATGTAAACAAATAAAGAACTTTAGTGAAATTTACTACATAGTGTCCGGTAAACAAGTTATTTACGAAGTAATCAACAAGCCAGTCACTTAATCGGACTACATAATCGTTAAAAAAAAGTCATGATTAACAAAATGATATTCACTACACTAAGATAACCAAATAAATTCTTCCCTGATAAGCAAAGATGGATAGTGGCTAGCAGTGGAATCCAGGATGTTCATTTCGTCCTATTTGGGACTCATCAGCTGGATGTACCTGCACCTCAAAGTTGATATTCACTCTGGGACACAATGGCGTTTGAAGCAAACGGTACTGGATTCGAGTCTCAGGGTGAACATCAAAGCTGACAAGTCGCAAATAGGATGAAACGCACGTCAAACTGGATTCCACTGCTAGCCACTATCCATCTTTACAATGCTTATGAATTAAAGCTATATCGAGGCAATACGCATAGTATGCACATATGGCCAATTAGAGACTGACCAATTGTAGTCCTTAACATCAATAGAAAGATTCTTCCCTCTTCTCACCTTTAAGATGCTTATCATAATGTCGAAAAAGATCCATATTATTTGATCTCACTTACTTGCTCTGTATTTATATTCATTTGATTTTCTTTAATCCATAAATCATATCTATTCCCAATATGTATAGTATAATTTAATGGTATTAATAATGATTGTAAAACAGATTGAAGAAATTCCATACATTTCTGCCTATCCATATAACATCTAGGTTGTATAAATGATATATTTAAATTACCAAGATCATGATATACAGTACCACCACCAGTAGAACGTCTAGCTAATTTCCATTTATTAGAATGTATTAATGATAGATTTACTTCTTTCCATGGATTTTGAAATCGACCAATAACAATAGAAGAAGTATTACGCCATAACAAGATTTTGGTAAACCATGATGGTTTCTCTTTCAAAGATTGAAAATATTTTTCACCTTCACGATATAAACATTCTTCGAAAGTTAAATTACGATAGATATCATGAGAGTTCAAAATTAATATTTGACTGAATGTATTAAATGAATAAGAAGTCGGCCAGTGGACTTGATAAGATTTGATAGCTGGGAATAGAATTGGTTTAATGATAATTCCCATAGTTAGGAATGATATATATAGATTATCCGTACATTATCTATGGAAAATAATAGAAAAATTCAAAGATAGTATTCTGTGAAAGAATATAATCTATCTGTAAACAATTACAATCAATCAGTCACAACGTAGAACTTCGTACGTACGTATGTACATCAGTACGAGTTGCTATACCATATTAGCACAGAGATGTAGTTGTCGATTCAAATCCCATTGTGGTAGAAGTATTAGTAAGAGTATAAACAGTAATCCGAAAGATTAGGGTTTGAAGATGTTATTCAAGGAGTATAATCCAGTGAAATAAATTTGGAAAGAGAAAAAGGGTACGGACATGAAGAATTCAGAAGATTAGAATTTGGTAGAACACAAAGAGTGGATGCACCTTCGCCATTGCAAACGATTTTGAGCCATGCCATTCAAGGTCTCTAACCATCGATTGCTATCATCTCGTGAATCTCAACCAGGTAGTCTACACCTACCAGCATGACTCAGTCAAATTGTCAGTGACTTCATGGATTTGTGCCATGTTTTGGTCTGGCCACCCCTAGCTTTTTTTCAACCTACTCCTACACAATAAAACATTGCACGTCGGGGCAGTCGGTGGTCGGGCATACGTAACACATGTCTCAGCCATCTCAACTGATCAAGTTTCACTACTTCATCAATCGATTTGTCATTCTCACCTAGTACCCGTTTCCTAACAACTACATTACTTACTTGGTGGTCCCAGGATATACGAGCAATACTTCGAAGACACCTATGATCGAATACTAGTAGCCTACGAATATCCTCTACTCTTACCGGCCATGTTTCACTGCCATAAAGTAGGACGGAACGAACTACTGCACAGTAAACCCGTCCTTTGGTTGCTAGACGGATATCTTGCCTACGCCATAAATGACGCAAGTTGGTGGAAGCTAGACGAGCCTTCTGTATCTGTGTTGAGATTTCGTCACACACCAGACCATAAGGGTTAATGAGGCTCTCAAGATAAGTGAAGCGGTCAACACGCTCAACTACTTCACTCCCTATCATTAGTTCATGTGCCGATGCAACCCAATCTTGAAGTAACATTTTGCACTTCGAGGGAGAGAATCGCATCCCGAACATGCCTGAATAGTTGCTTATAATGATCAGAAGACTCTGCAATTTGCCAGCGTCTTCACCAAATAGAATTATGTCATCGGCGTATTATTTTATGCTAGCATATAACAATACTGTCATGCATTGTATTATCGACCTTGGCAGGTCAGGCAACTTGGAAGTCATGAGAACACCATCAAGGCATATGACAGGTTAGGCACCCCGTAAACAATTACGCTTAACAATGTTAAAATTAAACTATGACAGAAATGGAGTAATTAATTTGTTACTAACAAATTTTGATAGTGTATATGACATTCAACTTGATAAGTGGGACAGTATAAAGTGAATAGTAGTTCAATTATTATATTCTCTTAATGAATCAATGATAAATAAATATCTCTTTTGAGGATTAGTAGAGATTGTAGTATTTTTAAAGTTGACGAAACAGTCATCTAGTGCTTTCATGTTTTCAATTGTAGCCTAACTTAGATTGACACGTGAATTCAACTTTGAAGATAAGTGAATAGTTTGAATAGGTATATCAAATCTTGATATTATCCTTTCCTTACGCCTGTTACTCTTCATGATATCTTAATAACTGTTATTGTTTATTCCGACTTTATAGCTGGTACAGTACAATTATATCATACTTGTTCAAAATTTGCTCAACAAGAAATTCATCAAATTATCGATGGGAATATATATGCTCGTAACTCAGAATTAAATGTAATCACTTCTCTTTGTTTTCCCTTGCATTTTCATTGTTTGTTTCTGTTAAATAGTTTAAAGATAATTCATGTCAGTCAGGAAATGAAGAAGGAGATTGATTATGGATACAGTAATCTTGAGTGTTGTTAGAGGTATTAAGGCAGTTATCACTTCCCGATTGCCCACACCGTGGAAGGGTTCTTCTAGACATAACTCAAAAGGAAATCGGGTCTTAATGACCTAAGAATGTGACCACAATGTCCAACGGACAACTGCTTGAGGTCGGTCACACACGACCTTTTTGTGGGTGATTTTTGTTTTAGCTCCATAATTGTTGGGACCCTACCGCCGGAGACCGATATCCGTGGGATAAGGTGAGGTGTGCATTTTTAGAGTCGACCTTTTCTAACCACACCCCTCCTTGTGGGAAGGCAGCATCGCTGTTATGCTGGTTGTCTCAAGGAAACACCTTACTGCTCTCACATCTCTGAACAGTCAGCAGTACGACTTGACCTTCGGACCTTGGGTTTGCTGCTTTTAGTCTCACCGCTCTTCAACCGACCTGTCTGGCATGGTAGGACCTTGAGGAACGATTGTTCCAGACAGTATAGCTTGATTGGTTCATCACGATAGGGAAGCCCGACCACCACGTCAAGGTAGTAGCAACGGTCGGGATTTTGTTTCTACTCTTCTGTAGACAATTACCAATATCAATAATGAAAGTGTACGAATTTAATCATAATAGACTAATTGCCCTATCTTCACTTAAAATGTATTTGGTGTATATTTATGATTTTAGGTGGTTGAAATTCTTTTTAGACACTAAATTAAATTAAACACTGGAAAAGTGATCTTAAAAGACGTCTTAGAGACAGAAAAACAACAATGAAAATGAATACACGACAAATGAAACTAGATAAAAGTCAAAGATTGACTTAAAATAACATGTAAATCTGAGCTGATAGTTAATCTTAAGATCATACAGTTTAATGTTTCAATGGAAAAAAAAACAAGACAACTTGAAATCTTTTATACAATTTGTTATAACGTATAGATTTCTGGCCTCTTAATATATATGTATATGTCCAATGATACAGAAAATACGTACGAGCAGTCTTGGGTGCTATTCGGTCCTTCCTATCTGCCTAGCCCAGCCGTTAAGTCCAGAACACAAATAACAGCCTCAACAATATGAATCATTATTTACAAGCATACTGGGTTATATATACTAACCAAACAGACCACATATATCAAAAATAGAAAAATAACATTTGTACAGTAATTGGCCAATGTGGCTGTAGCTAGGGGGAAAGTAACCAATAATAATAGTTCCAAGGTCAAAATAAAGGTTATGATAAGAGGAACACGGAAACGATTAGGTCACCTATTTAGCAACTATCCAATAGGGAATGGGCATATTGTATTTGTCCATAAATAGACCTCAGATTTAAGTCACTTATTTAACAACTATCCAATAGGAATAGGCGTATTACATTTGTCCATAAATGGACCTCAGATTTATGATTCATAATTCGCCAGGGGATATAACACAATTAAAGCTAATGACTATGAGCCTCAGAGACCTGGTGTTATGATCTTATCAAACACAACTCTAACACACCAGGAATCATCTTGATTCATCATTAAAACATACATCTTCACTAATGTTAGTTAACACACAAGTTGATTAAGATCACGAATCGATCTAAGTTAGACAACCACTGAGAAGTTGAAAGCACTAGATCGCTGTTTCGTTCTAGTGTAGGGTTCTTCAGTATTGAGCATTCATGAGTCGAACCCAAGACCTTCAGTGTTAATCGTAAATGTTTAGCCTTTAGAACATTAAAGTAAGACCCAATACAAGATAAGTCTAACTTCAATCAATTCGTGAAATCACACAACCATCCAATCTGCAAAACCCCCATAATGATCACAAATTTATAAGTTTGATAACTACTTATTTATTTAAACACATAAATATTGGTACAAAGGGGCACCAGATATATATGCGCCCCACAAATCTCATTTGATTTGTGTGAGAGCTGTGATACTACCCAGATGCCCAAAATGAAGCTAGTGGTTTTCTTAGGGGCCACACCTCGAGCCTTCGACCTAAAGATCTGAACCACAAGTCAGTGGAGCATCGTAAGGAGATGCAGTCCCATGGTAGCCTGTGACCAACGATTGATTCATACGCCATTTGTTCACTCAGGATACTGGAGCACATGTGCACCATTGGTTTGGAATTAGGGTTTTCGAACTCCCCTAGGTGGACTCTCCATGTCCACCAACCTAGTTAAAGTGCCGGTTATTCGCTTTTCGTCCTCTCAATTTCGTAAACAACAGTAATCCCACTAGAATGTAGTGAGTAGGACTTCTGTGGCAGAGGCTATATACGCGTGACCATGTGAGAGTATTTCGATAGGGAGTGCGTACCCTCCCCACTCTCGGCCTTACCAGGACATTTGGAGGCATGATAACTACTACTTAAATACATTGTACTTCAACAAGTTAAATACAGATTTATCGCTAATTAATTCGCTTATAGACTTAATTGCAATTTCAACAAATAAAAAACAAACATGTTAGTTACATGAAACAGTAAAAGTTACATTTCCATAATAATAATAAACAAAACACACACACACACATAATACCAACCATAGATACAAGAAAAATAGTATGATGAACATAAGATTATTTGTACTATTAAAATTAGACAATAAGTTTATCTTTTACATCTAACTTTATATGACCTAGAATATGAATCAATTATTGTTGTTAAGGGGTAACAAAAAAAAATTTGGTTAGATATTGGTTATTTTGTAAAAGGGGGAAATAAATTGATTCCATTCAATTCAATGATAAGTTGTATGGATACCATGAAAAAAAAGGATTTAGATACAAAGTATTATTATTGTTAATATGTATATGTTCAGGGACGTTGAACGAATTCACATGAATAATCTTACTGATACATGTGGTGTAACGATATAGGGAAAAACAAGACAAACAAACAACATAGAATAATATCAGAAGGCGGTTTTGTGGAGTCTATAACGACTTCGGCGTTTAGGTAGCCCATCAGGATGGTAAGGTCCTTTCTTTGGCATTCCGCTATGATAGGTTGCAGGGTCCTATAAAACTGATCTTTGTCGTCGTCGTTGCTATCATTGGTGGATGCATAACATTGGATAACATTCATTGTGATTCTCTCCTTCTTTGTTTTGAAGGGTGCTTTGATGAC